CCCCTCATAATCAACAACAATTCGAACGACGGTGCAACTTTAACCCACCTTGGTTGTCATTAAAAAGAACTGCATATTTACTGTTATTTCAAACAATCCTTCAAAATACAAATGTATCCGAGTATCTTTATAATTAGATTGACAATGTTGACCGGGGACGTCTGTTTCAAATTGTATAATTTGTTTGCAAGAACTAATCACTGGGGCTGGGATTTGTATCACCTGCAAAGCAACAGTATAGCTATGCACTTGGTTAGATGCATGTACGTTCGTCGTCTTAGAAATGTAGGTCATTGTTCCCTTTTTGTAATTGACATTTTATGCAATGAACGCATTATATTATATTATATTATATTATATTATATTATATTATATTATATTATATTATATTATATTATATTATATTATATTATATTAGTATGTCGTGTTAATCGTGTGCGTTTGATGTGTCAACTTCTAACTTGTGTATTTAAGGTACCTGGACTGAAATCTTTATTTATAACAGTATGTGCGTCATTCTCACTTTAAGTGAGCGATGTACGGACGTCCTTGAAAGAGATGGCAGCAAGTGAAAGGGAGAGTTTATGCTACCGAGGGTCATAAACTACATGTGAAACATGTAGAGTAAGTTAAGTGTTGAGACACTCAAGGTTGTAATCGTCACCGCCATCAGTCTGCCTGTGTCTCGGGTGTCACAAAACATTCAATGACCCCCACCCCCCACCCCTTGCCCCGCCCGCCCGAAGGCTTGCAATTCTGGTACTTCGGTTAATATTAGATAAACTGTATACGATTTGTTACTAGGATGTTCTTACTACATAGCGTATGTATCGGTATTTATGATCGTAAACGTGGGAAGCATGTCGTAAAAGGCATCAGAATCATTTACACAATATCAACGCCCCACATAAAATTCTCCGCAAAACAGTATATTCAATCTAAGACAGGAAAGTCGTTACTCTAGCTAGGTCGGCTATCTTCAGATGATTCCTTCCCGCAAAACATTCAACAATAAAACAACGGCGATAAATACGCAAATAGTAAACATTAAGAAGTTCCTTCTTCTGACTGTGAATTTTCAAATTTCCTGCCGTGCATTGTTTGGCTTTAGTTGATCGACGAGATGCACTGACAAGTGTGATACAAACAGGTGTAAAAAAAAAAAAACAGGACAGAGCCTGAAGCCTTTATAACAAAGAGCGATAACATTGGGTAGATTTTCCAAGGTGTTAAAAAACTCCACGACTGATTGTTCGTCAGATTATAGACAATGTTCACTGGCAGTGTGAGGAGCCTAATGAGTTTTTCAGAGGTAATCTATCACCCATAGGTACCTAAATGCTGAGTTTTATGGATTCCCCATGGCGGCAGCAGAAGCAATGACTTTGCATGTTAAGTAAGGTAGATTTGGAATGTATAAAATAACTCACTATCCTCAGTAGTTTTTATAACTCTATAATGATTTTATAACGTCGTACATACGGGTGAAGTGGCGATACGGTTAGCATCTATACGTCGATAACTGTACGCGGTCAAGCGTCCGTGATTCGTAGTGTTTATTAATGCCAGAAGTGAAAACCTGTTCACGTCTGTGCGGCCGTTTAACATGCATATTAAACCACTGTCACAATGTGATATTGAGTGAACAAGTGGGAGAAGCTGCCACCCCTCTAGTCGAATGAGTTCACCCGAGATTTTAAAACGAAGTCTGTCATGAATATTGAATCAGCACAGCTACATAAAAGTACATAGAGAGGGAAGGACTGTAAGTTACGAAATCATACCAATACATGCTCCGTACAAGTGGATAGCAGCTTCGATGAAGGTTTGATACCTGCGTGAATGCAAGGTATATACAGCGCTAGAGTCGACGCCTTCCTTCCTATTTAAGCTCCAGTAGTTGGCATTCATATAGATAACACGATTTCCAGCTTCTTCTGGGCTACGAACCACGAGGCTAGCGGCTGATAAGACCCAGGGACGGTATCGTAAGCGTATATCTTTAAATAGAAAAAAGTCACTCAATCGAGGTTCTATTTGCACAGACGATTGATCAATGTTCCCAGGTACTTGGAGATTTCCTGGGGATAAGGGCAAGCCCTGTCAGTGAGTTTTAACGCTTGTGTAGATCTCACTTTACAAACACATAAATCATTGTCTTAAAACTGCGCCCTTAAGTCGGTGTCATTGGAGACATAAATCCCAAGGCATCAGAAACAAAGGGAACTATTCAGAACGTAAGATGTCCGAGCCAACGATCTCGTCGACTATATCCATCAATTTGGAGTTGCCAGCAATTACCAGTATGATTATTAGAGCGTACGTTATCTGAACAGTGCTTTCCTTTCCACGAGACTGCCAAGGAAGTGATAATCTGTAAAGTGTCTTCATACACCGTCCCTGGACAGTGCTTCATATCAGCGTTTATTGAACGAGTTGAAAGCCTACCACTGGTGAAGTAGCATAGTAGTACGCTGGTCACTTGCAGGTGTTCAACACAGCGCACGTCAGACTTTATCTCACTTTTCAGAAAGACATACTATATCGTCGCAAATCATTGAATGAATTATTGAAACAGTTAGAAGGGTGTTAGTGAACATTATCAATTCACAATGGACTGCAAGGAAAACAACATAATGGAAAATGATATTAGGACAACTACCTTACAGATTCAGATGCCCATGGAAGGGTATTTGATATCGAAGCAAAAAGGCACCTGCTTCGTTTCGGCGATCGTGATCCTGATCGTCCTTGCGTTCATTCTTGCCATTCTGCTGGTGTCGGCTTCGCGCAAACCGAGCTGTATCGATGAGTTATCTTTGCCGGAATTGGTGATAGATGAAAAAAAAGTATTTGATGGACGTCTCCCTGACAACTTGGTACCTATAAACTACCTCATCAAGCTTACTCCGTACTTGGATGAAGTGGACGGAGGGAAAATGCGAACATTCGATGGTTCTGTTAGGATAGAAGCCAGATGCGCGAGGCCAACTAGCAAGATAACTCTCCACGCTCAATATTTGGATATTAACAGGGACTCAATTCAGATAAAAGACAGCGAGTTGAATTCGCTGGAGGTAAGGGACGTTTCCACTGATGAACTGTATAACTTTTACGTGATATCAACGTACCCAGCTTTGCAAAAGGAAAAAGTTTACGTGATAGAGATGAACTACGTTGGGTCGCTGAACAACACGGATCTGGTGGGCTTCTATATAAGTACATACGCTGTTGGAAACACCACAAGGTAAAACAATAAAAACAACAATTACTATAGACTTAATATTTATTTTGTTAGTTAGTCTGTAGTGTTGGTCACATTTCACCTGACATACAAATGATTCGGACGCATGAAGTGGCATAACTATTAAGGATTGCTGTACTTCATTCAAGGCCAACTGGAAGGGAGAAGGATTCCTTCACCTAAATCATAAGATCTTCGGGGAATCGTTAATGTTCATTCCTTGGTGGTTTGTTTGTTTATGGTCATATAGATTTATTGTTGACCAGCAGCAGAACTAATGATGGGTGTCTTGGGATCTCACCTAGTACTCACTATTCTGTATTAATCACCTGCGTTGTTGCTGACACATCCGCCACTTACTAGAGTCAATATTTTGGCCATTTGAAGACATTTAAAAACGGAAATTGAGTCTATAAATTACCTTGCCCCGTTCATCTGTAATATTACATTCACAATTCAATTGCCGTCTAGGTGGCCTATATGTAACGTACACTTTGCACGTGGTGACGCAATGAATACGTGGGGTACCTCATCCGTGTCGAAGCAAGATTGTTTATACTATTTGAGCAATGGATTTAAGTTCGCGAGAGTATAGT